CCGGTGCTATACTGCAAAGTAAGGGGAGATAAAATGCTGCATGCAGTTATTTCACCATCCTTCCACAGCAAGCCTAAACTTTTTTTGCCGGGTACCGGCGTCTTCCTTTAACCAATAGCACGGTTCCTGTTTTGCGGTTTCTGTTTGTACAATATCTATAGCAGCGTTTCACAAACACACAGCGCTACTTCTGTATTTCAGGCCGCGTCTATGACATATTTCAAAGTGTTCATGTGAAAGCATCTCCTTTTCTTTCGCTCCCTTAGCACGCACATCCGTATTATTTTAAAGCATACCACTTGCCGCCGAGCATTGTGGGTAAGACTACTGGTGTGCTTTGGGGGATTCGGGACAACCAGCCTTAAGTCAGCCTTATTCACTTACACTTCGTGCCATCCAGTACAGAGGTCTTCTATAAGACATCAAGGAGGCCTCCACCCAGAAGGACTTATTTAAAGGGGATGCATCACCCCGCACAGAAAACGTTTGCTTGTCCTGCGATAAATATGTAGGTGCCATTGCTGTACTCTTCTGAAAACGCCGGCTGCCTGGCTAGTAACTCAGAAAGCATTGAAGCCAGGAGCAGCTGCATTTTAGATTGGTTCAGCAATGGCAGCCTCAAGTGTTCTCTCAGCACACCACGAGCAGCTTAAAGGTGAACTCCATGCACTAAAACTTTCCTTTAAACACACTCGTCAATCTCGGGGATCAGGAAAGTAAAAGTCCTCTGCTGGCGTGGGCACGGGATCTGACGCGTCTCACCGTAAATATAAACCTGGCTAAGGAAGTTCCAAGAGCTCAGCGCTCTTCAAGATGTTGTGCAATTCGTTGTGTTTTTTTATTGATGGAAAATCCACATGGCAGACAAAACAACGGCGGCATTGTAACTCAATCTGGGACCCTTTTCAAGTTCTATGACTCCCGTGTTTTTCACAATATACATCAAATCTGCTGGCTTAAAGGAGAACCCCAACCTGGATGAAGACCTTCCTAGAGTTTAGGACTGCTCTGTCCTGGGAAGGTGTTATAACCTTGAAATAGAATTTGTTTTTGTCTCCATCTAGGAGGGTGGATTTGCAAAATGTGCATATCCACCCTCCTAGATGGAGACTGATAGGGATGCACTGATACTGTTTGTTCGGTATCGAGTACTGATTTTTTTTTCCGGTACACGCTGATACCGAATACCGATACCGGAAGACCCATTAAGGAAGCCAGGTGGTGTGCAATGACTCGCCACCTGCCTTCCTGATTACCCGGAGAGGTGGGCAGCATGTAAAGACTCGAGACCTGGCTTGCATTCTGGCCAATCAGGAAGCTGGGCAGCGTGTAATGACGCGTTGCTCGGGTTCCTGATTGTCCGAGAAGCTGGCCAATCAGGAAGCAGGGCAACGCGTCATTACATGGTGCCCGGCTTCCTGATTGACGAGGGGGCATGGAGCCGGCTTCCCGGCCAATCAGGAAGCCGGGCAGTGTGTAATGACTCGCTGCCCGGTTTCCTGATACCGGAAGCTCAAGTATCGGGCTAGGCATAGGAGCATCTGGGCGAGTAAGAGTACTAGCCCAAATACTCGGCATCGGCACCGATACCGATACTAGTATCAGTGCATCCCTAATGCAAATTAACTACTAACGCTGGAGCTTAAAATGGGGGTACGGTTATTGTTACAGTACGGGCCACGGGCTGGGGGTACTGTTAGGGGTTAATGGGTTACATGTTAGGCCACCATGTAAAGATAGGAATATGTGGCAAGGGTTAATATTTAAGGGTTAGATTAGGACAGCTGAGGATAGGCCGGCGATCAGATATAAATGTTAGCGGGAGATTATGGGTGAAGTTATTTGAAGGGTTCGGTTAGGTCAACCAAAGGGTCAGGTTAAAGTTAGAGTCCAGACAGCATGGTGGCACACTTGACTTTCCCACTTGTATCCGGCACCACAAATCCGAGAATTACACGGTGCTGAAAACCAACATACTGAAAGACTTTTGGGAGCCATGAGCCTTAAAGGTCATGTGTAGTCACAATATATATATATATGTTTTAATAGTGAATGGAGTAGAGAGGGATCAGAACCAAGTAGTAGCCTAGAGTAGGGAGTTGTCTTTGTTATTGTTGTCTGCGTCAGCGCTGGGGAGATTCACCGCTCTATGGAACAATGTCACCGACAGAAGGTGATGACAAATCCAGAACGAGAGGTGAGGGATCATCTTCCAATGGGGACACCTGTTCTGGTGACAACTGTCTAAGAAGGGAACTCCCCTCACTTGGTAGAGGTTTCCTCTCCTTTCTTCTTGTGTCTCTAGGGAAGGACGTAAAGGGAAATCTCCCCGTACAGAATACAACAAATCAACTGAGGCGCATGTGAAGGAGGAGCTAGACCTCCGAATAATCACATCCAACGTTGTAAAACATCATCAGCCTGACTCACATGTACCAGATCAACCCCATGAGACGGGAGCTCTGGAAAACAAAGTCCAAATATATAAGAAGCAGTAGTGGCTCCACGCCAATGGTCAGAGAGTCTAAAATGATGTCAGTAAAGGTGCCCACACACTTTACAACCATCGCAAGGCCTTAGTCTTGCGAGGGTTGTAAAGTAATTTTAAAAACGTACGATCTGCCCATCTTGGACATGCAGATCGCACTTCCGATCATCGGAAGCCCGCCCGATGACCGCAATGCTGAACGGGGCAGTGTGCACGATCGCGGGATTTCCCGCTATTCTCGTACGAGAATCGTAGAGTGTATGGGCACCTTTATGGTCAGAGTCTAAAATGATGTCACTAATAGCCAGGGTTTAAAATAATGTCACCAATGGATAAAGAGTCTAAAACAATGTTTTATTAACTAATCAGTAGAAAGAAGACAACACATTTTATGGGACCCCCCACCCCTCCCCCCTTCATCAGGGATTATGTATCTTGTAACCATAAAGATGGCTGGGCTCAGTTGGATTGCAATGATAGTTCCATGTACAGTATATAGTGAAATCCACCACCAGCATCAGTGTATGTCACCAATGACCAAACTGCCAGAGATAGGGTTTCCCTATATACTGTACAGACAACATTCCCCATACTTCTATATACTGTACATACAACATTCCCCATACTTCTATATACTGTACATATCATACTTCTATATACTGTACATATCATACTTCTATATACTGTACATACAACTATCATTGCAATCCACCCAAGTCCACCCAAAATACATAAGCCCCAATGAAGAGGGAGTGTTTGAACCGCTGAAACGTGTTGGCGTCTTTCTACTGATTATTCGATGAAACATTGCTGTGGCTCCCTCACTGCTTCCTATAGGAGAATAAAACAAACTGACTCCCTTCCCTGCTCCCCCCAAAACTCAAACTTTACATTTAGGACATGTATGTGATTTCTGACACAGAAATGGGTTGTTTCTATTTCCTGTATTAGCATTCAGTTCCTGTTATGAGGTACAAAGTGGAACTGTCCCTTCTGCAGAACATATAAGGTATTTGATTGGCACAGGACTCAGTGGTTGTGCACCACCTGATGCCAGCTGTTGTAGTGGAACTACAAATCCCATGAGGCATTGCAAGCCTCTGACAGCCACAGGCATGACCCCCAGAGGCAGATGCATGATGGGATTTGTTGTTTCACCACAGCTGGAGGGCCAGGTTTGCCCAGCCCTGTGCTAGTCCTCCTGTTGTACTGTGCTATCTCTGCGGAGTGCCATTTGGGTGCTTTTCCGATACTTCCCTTGTATGGCCGACCATTGTTCAGCTTTGTGATGTCCGCGCCATTGTTCCCCCGAGCAGGGAAGTTAATCCGATAAGCAGCGTGTCAGAGTGGGGTTTCATTGTGCACACGGGGAGGACATGGCACACATGTGTCTGTGTGTGTGGGACCCGTCACCTGTCGTCTCCTCAGCCACACGTGGAGCATCTACGGCTCCCCCGGATCAAGTTTAAAGACCATGGAAAACACATGACGTGCTCCTCCCGGGGTTTGGCGCGGCACGCAGGGCACTTTTGATGTTTATAAGATGGATTAGCTCTAAACCTTCCAAAAAGCGGTTTTCATTCTCTGAATCCTAACCAGTCCGAACCCAAAACTACACAACAAAAAAGGTTTTCGGTTCACATTACGCCCTCATTCACACAGGAATCGGCCGGCACGTACAGCTCCGTGCTGCGTGCACGGCCGTATCGGCCGCTTCCGGGAAGGACAGGTGCTGCGTGTGATTAGTACGCAGCCCCCGTCCTTCTCTATGGGAGTACGCAACCCTACGCTCACTTCAAGTGCAGGTCCGTGCGGGTGAGCGTACTCGTACGCTGACAGGATGGATCCTGTCTGCGTCCGAGCCAGGAAACACGCACCCGCACTTGAAGTGAGCGTAGGGCGGCATATTGCCGCGTAGTCCCATAGAGAAGGACAGGGGCTGCGTACTAATCACACGCAGCACCTGTCCTCCCCGGGAGCTGCCGGATACGGCCGTGTACGCGGCACAGAGCTGTACGTGTCGGCCGATTCCAGTGTGAATGAGGCCTAAAGATGAAGTTTAATCTGCTGATATTTTGCCTTCTCTGTTTCCTTTTTCCTCCCTTCCCAAATACATTACATGGACCCTGTGATGTCATCACTGGGTCCCTATACTTCTCAATGCATTCCAGGCAGGGTGCTGTACATAGCTTCCAGACCACAGCACAGCACCCTGCTTCCATACCGCTCACAAGAGCCCTCAGCTCTGATGCAATCAGTGGGCTGGCCCTTGGGAGGAGTTATGCAAATATGAAAATGCCTTGATGGGTGGGTGTCAGTCTAGAGGAGCAGGCGTTTCTAGGCAGGCCACATTGGCATGCAGGCATCCGTGCCGCTCATAGAACGGGGGCCCAACTGCAACCAACTTGACTTCAGAATCGCCACGCATGGAGACCAATAAAGGTGACGTTATCCTAAGCATCGCGCACCGACTGAACAATTCCAAAATGGCTGCCAATGCCGCTGGGCTCACCTTGTATCTGGCTCTGTGCCTGAGGGTTGAATGCCGCCGAGTGGTTCAGAGATGATCGTGGGTTGGGGGTGTGAGTTGGGTGGTGCGGGCTGACCCTCACTGCCGCTCGCCGCAACTGTTCCAGTTCGCTCAGCCGCTCGGAAAACGACAAGCTCCCGGGTTTGCTCTGCTCATCCAGTTTTTGCCTGTGCCCTGTTAATGGAGAAGGGTAAAAAAATAAAAAACCTCCCCAAATACCAATTTTTACCAGAAAGTTCACCGAATGCTGACCAGGCATGCAATCTGATTGTACCATCTATGAACAGGGCTCGGGGGGTGATGTAATGTGCGCATAGGGGTGCTGCAGCTCCATTCATTCTTAATGGGTCCCAAATGCACCCCAAAGTGCCTTGCCGATGGACACGCACTGCAGTGCGCCACAACGCACGGTAACGCACCCAGGCCCGGATTTCCTACAAGGCCAACCGAGGCCCAACCTCGGGGCAACAGGGAGTAGAGGGGCAGCAGGGGTGTGTAATTCCTATATGAACACTGAGACAGGAACGCTGCACTCTCAGCCTTCCCATCTCAGCTGTCACAGGAGGGCCAGCACAGTGTTAAAACATTAAATAAAAATTGATAAAAAATAAATAAAAATAAAAATTTGTTTTATAAAAAATACTTTAAAAAATTAGTTAAAAAGAAATAAAAAAAATTATTTCAATAAAAAATAAAAAGGTGGTAAAAAATAATCAGATAAATAATCATTTTAAAAAGTAACAAAAACATAAATAAAAATTGGTTTGACGGTTAGGGGGGCGCATTAAGGAATCTGGCCTTGGGGCAGTAGAGAGAGTAAATCCGTCCCTGAACGCACTACCATGGGTTTCAGTGCGGTGCGCCACAAAAATATTGCATGTACCATTTTTGGTGCGTTTTCGTGAGTTAATATGCGTACCTTATGGCACCGCAGATGTATGAGCCCCCAAAACTATGTATTATGAGGGCAAACCTAAAATCCAATAAGGCAGCCCGTGCACTACATAGTTGATGGTAGATCTGAAGGTGATTGTCCAATCAGATTAGATCATGTATGGTCAGTGCCACCAGCCATGAGATGTCTAGCAGCCAATGAGAAGGAAGCATGGTGCAGTGCAGCTGGTGATTGGTGCACGTGCCAATGTAGATACAGACAATGATATATAAATATGTTCTATATGGGTAATATCGCTCTCATGCTCTGTCAGTGAACACTCTGAATAGTGGAGTCTATAGAGATGGGATGATATAGATTCAGAGAACAACTCTGGTCTCATTCAAAGTTGGAGCTTTGAAATCATCTACAAATAAGCGTTCTTAATTCCTTCATTTCATATGCAAAATTGGCATCTGAAACCATTCACAGACTATGGGCTCTGTTTATAAACAGGCCCTTTGCCCCGCAATTATCTGTGAACGTTCGTTCGGTGCGGATGATGGCAAAAGCGAATACATTTTCTTTTCAGGATAAATGTATTACGTTGTAATACCGTAATGTGGCCACTGGGTGGCGCTGAGTAGTGCAGGAGCTATTTCCTATGCTCTTCAGCGCCACCCAGTGGCTATTGTCCGGCATTACAACATAATACATTCTACCTAAAAAGAAAATATATTAAGAACGTTCGTTTTTGCCATTAGTAATACAAAATGAGCGTTCAATGATATTCACAGGCCCTGCGAATTGTTCCTAAATAGACAAGGGTGTGCCTGTCCCCTCTACCCCATCATGCTATGTATCCGCACAGCCAATGCAAGGTCTCAGCATCCAGGATCCTGACAGCCAGGCGAGTAGCATTTTCAGAATAAGGTCAGTGATGTCATCCTGTTCATTTCTGCCACAACAGGTTCCCTTTATTAAACATCTTCATACAAACATACACAACCCCCCTCCTTTCCAAAGTCGTTAAATAATATCTAAATTTACATTCTGTAATTATCTGAAATCTGCCCTGATACTGAGATGCCGCACGCCAGCTGAAAGATGAAATCAGAAACTAGAGGAAGAAAACTCAGCGCAAGCATTACCAATCTGGTAGCCCTATCAGCAGGCAGGAGGCGGGGCAGTGACACAAAGCTGTCAAGGCTGCAACCTCTAAAACGTCACCCTCCATATTTTATGCAGCAGGCGTGCGCAAATCATCAGTATTCACGCATTATTAACCATTCGGCCGGGTAAACTGGACGCGCGATATTGCGCTGTTGTAGGACGCACACTTTACCGCAGAGAACACGTGAAGTGTGTTGCAGTGTTATTTATTTTCAATGGTGCTACAATATAACTGCCCAGTGCGCATGTGCCGATTGATCTGACCGGAGTCGGCCTTTAACTCTTGCATTGGAAAGTCCCTACGGAAGGGCCCAATGTCTAGACTCACAGAGTCACATGACATCTGAATACCGCTGTCCGTCCACCTTCCTTTCCATTTTTGT